CTTAAAGTTTTTACCTGGATGTTAAACCTGTCCAGAAAAAAAAAATCATGTTTGAGTTAGAAAATTTAAAACATGTATTTGTTACTTTCAGCCACAGTTCTTAGACCAGCCTAAATCATAACATAAAAATAAAGTTCAAGCAATAGAACAACAGGAAATTAAATACCATTGTAAAAAGATCATTACAGCAAAAGTCATAAAGAAATAAATTAAGTTTTCTCTGATATTTAAATCTAAAATCAAGTTATACCAGACCAATCTCTTGAAAACTTTTGTAGAGTTGGATTTTGTAAGAAAATAAATTGGGCCAATTTATATACAAACCATACAGCAAGGATAAACATTTGTATTAGTTAAAATCATGTGCTTAGTTTCCAATAAAAGAAAATATTTGTAGCTCAAGGTTGAAATGAGTTCTTGGTGTTCTCCGAGCTTGGTTATTTTCTTACAGACATTTCATTATTTATTTATTTTATTTATTTATTTATTTTTCAAACTTCTATACCACCCTTCTCCTTTAGGACTCAGGGCGGTGAACAGCCAAGATAAAAAACATTTATACATAAAGTTAAAAATAGATTTAAAATAATTAAATAAATTTGGCCCGTAATTTAAAACTTATCAATTTAAAATCCGTATCAAATTTTAAAACCAACCATTATCCTAACTAGGTAACATCATAAATACAAGTAAGGAGAGGGTTTTGCTGTCAGTTTATATTCTAGTGGCTTGCCTTGTCAGTGTTGGTGGGGGTGATCTTAGAGGTTCTTTGGTTGGGCTGTTTACTGTTTATTGGCTGTTTACTGTTGGCTTCTTTGGCAGTTCCTTGACTGGGGTATTGTTTACTTGATTTACTTGAAATCCTGATCTCATTTGATGTCACAACCCTGTTCACATCCATAGATCTGGACTTATCCAAAGAATCTATGATCACATTGCTCCACAGCATATCTGACTTAATTAAATACAAGAAGATTAAAATGCCCAGGATTATAGATCTCATAAACCTCTGCCTAACCACAAACTTCCAATTTGATGGATAAAATTATCAACTTTAAAGATATACATATGGGATCACTGCATTTGGAATTTATAGTGGAGGTCATTATGCAACATCTAGAAGCCATACCACTTCCATAAATACAAACCAAAATATGAATCAGACATGTATAGGACCTAAAGCACCTAACGGACAGGTGCTTTAAAGAGCACCTGTCATTTCAGATCCATCATGGCAGCATCTGTTAGCGGGTATTCACTCACTACTGCCTGCCACATCCACCTTGTTGTGTCACTGCTGTATCACCAGCCATCCCATTAAAGTGAATGGGACTGTCGGCGAGTCAACAGCTTGTCAGAGGAGGGCAGAGATGACAGTTGCTCTTTTAAAATTATGATTTAAATCAAGTTGATTTAAATCAAGCCTTTTTACTAGTGATTTAAATCATGATTTAAATTGACTTGATTTAAATCAAATCCACCCTGGCTACCAATACACATAGATATAAACAATATTTATATACTATGCAGGAAACAACATTCCAAAAAGGAAACAAAAACATCAAAGCACGTAGATGAGCATAAGTTAACTCCAAAATTAACCTTAGACCAACAATCAAGTAAACAATACCCCAATCAAGGAACTGCCAAACAAGCCAAGAGTAAATAGCCCAAAGAATCTCGAAGTCCCCACCAACACCAACAGGGCAAGCTACAAGAATATAAACTCAGAGCAAGCCCCACTCCTTACTAGCACTGATGATGTTACCTAATTTGGGTAATGAAACATCTGCAAGAAAACAAGCTCTGAACACCAAAGACCAAACTGAAGACAGGCAGTAACTTCAAATGCAAATGGAAGTTTTAAATTTTGTAACACATTTATTTAAAAAAATTTAAAAAATATTTTTAAAGTAAGTAATTGTATAAACTGACTTATAAATGGAATGTTTGAATCAGATTCATACCAGTCAATGCTTGCTAGGAGCATTCTGAGTTATAATGTATGTTTTCTTACTCATCACTTTTCTCTCTGACTAACAAAAACACAAGAGGTAGAGCTTCATTATTCAAATTTATAAAAGATCCAACTTTGCAGACTTTTCCTTTTTGTCATTCATGAAGAGTTTTTATATATTTCATATACAGAGTAAGCATAAGTATATTCTTCATAATTATCCAATCAGATAGAAGACTGTTCCTGCACAGTTATTGTGATGCATATTTTCAGTGTAACATTTATGTTTAATGTTTTCTTTGAGAATTGATTGCAAAGTATATGGCATTTCCTTTCTTTTTAGTCTAAAAACAATGTGGTAAAACTAATTCAGTGGAAAAAGGATGACACCTAGTCCTAAAGCAGTCACCGAGTTCCAAGATAAAAGCACAGCATTTCAAAACTGTAATGTATGGTCTATCCTAGAATGCGTTAAAGTTGAGCATCCATTTGAATATCAGTCTTGCAATCACTTGTCTTCTCTTAACTACATAACAAAATCTGAAATTAATTACTTATTTTTAGGACTTGAAAAATAAAAAAGGAAGGAACTATAAACTTACACCAGCAGTCGCCTACAAAAAAAACCTCTATAAAATGTTTTATAGATGGCATTTTCCCCCAGCGAGATTGGCCAAAATGTATCCAAATTTATCCCCCAAATGCTGGAGATGCAACTACAAATTTGGAATATTCTATCACATGAGGTGGACGTGCCCCATCACAAGGAAATATTGGTGCAAAATTCAAAAACGGCTAGAAGAAATACAGAGCAAAAAACAGATTTGAAACCGGAACTATTTTTATTAGGAATACTGGATCCAAAAATGAATAAAAAACTTCAATACATCACACTACACATACTCATTGCAACAAGAATCATATTTGCACAAAAGTGGAAACAAAATAATGTATCCTCAGACAAAATAGTTATTAGGAAAATTCTTGAATGCACAGAAATGGAAAAAATGACTATGGAGCTAAAAAAGAGGGATGATTCGGACTATTATGAAGTATGGAATAAAATGTACAGTTGGCTCGAAAATAGAAACCAAACAAGGAATGTTTAACTTAGTACTGATGAAATCTAAATTGGAGTAATTGAACAACATTAAACAAAGAGATGTAAATCTAAATGAATATAAATTGGTAGATAAAAATAATGAATTCTACTATGTGTATTAATATATACATTGGTGTAACATTATACTATCATCAAGAAGTAAATAGAGAATCACAAAAACAAAATACATATGCCGTTAAAGAAAGCTGTAAAATAACCTTAGATGGTATGTATTGTTTGCTGTGTTTTGTCTTGTTTTGATGTATTTGTGGTTGTTTTTTATGTTGTTTTTAAAGATAAAACTGTTTAATAAAAATTATTTTTAAAAAATGAAATAAAAAAGGAAGGACCTATAAAGCACAATCATGTGCAATCCCATGCCCAAATACAGTGGGGCAAAAAAGTATTTAGTCAGCCACCAATTGTGCAAGTTCTCCCACTTAAAAAGATGAGAGAGGCCTGTAATTGACATCATAGGTAGACCTCAACTATGAGAGACAAAATGAGAAAACAAATCCAGACAATCATATTGTCTGATTTGGAAAGAATTTATTTGCAAATTATGGTGGAAAATAAGTATTTGGTCACCTAGAAACAAGCAAGATTTCTGGCTCTCACAGACCTGTAACAACTTCTTTAAGAGGCTCCTCTGTCCTCCACTCATTACCTGTATTAATGGCACCTGTTTGAACTTGCTATCAGTATAAAAGACACCTGTCCACAACCTCAAACAGTCACACTCCAAACTCCACTATGGTGAAGACCAAAGAGCTGTCGAAGGACACCAGAAATAAAATTGTAGACCTGCACCAGGCTGGGAAGACTGAATCTGCAATAAGCAAGCAGCTTGGTGTGAAGAAATCAACTGTGGGAGCAATAATTAGAAAATGGAAGACATATAAGACCACTGATAATCTCCTTCGATCTGGGACTCCATGCAAGATCTCATCCCGTGGAGTCAAAATGATCACAAAAACAGTGAGCAAAAATCCCAGAACCACACGGGGGGACCTAGTGAATGACCTGCAGAGAGCTGGGACCAACGTAACAAAGGCTACCATCAGTAACACTACGCTGCCAGGGACTCAGATCCTGCAGTGCCAGACGTGTCCCCCTGCTTAAGCCAGTACATGTCCAGGCCTGTCTGAAGTTTGCTAGAGAGCATTTGGATGATCTAGAAGAGGACTGGGAGAATGTCATATGGTCAGATGAAACCAAAGTAGAACTGTTTGGTAGAAACACAACTCATCGTGTTTGGAGGAGAGAGAATGCTGAGTTGCATCCAAAGAACATCATAACCACTGTGAAGCATGGGGGTGGCAACATCATGCTTTGGGGCTGTTTCTCTGCAAAGGGACCAGGACGACTGATCCATGTACAGGAAAGAATGAATGGGACCATGTATCGTGAGATTTTGAGTGCAAACCTCCTTCCATCAGCAAGGGCATTGAAGATGAAACGTGGCTGGGTCTTTCAGCATAATGATCCCAAACACACCGCCCGGGCAATGAAGGAGTGGCTTCGTAAGAAGCATTTCAAGGTCCTGGAGTGGCCTAGCCAGTCTCCAGATCTCAACCCCATAGAAAACCTTTGGGGGGAGTTGAAAGTCCGTGTTGCCCAGCGACAGCCCCAAAACATCACTGCTCTAGAGGAGATCTGCATGGAGGAATGGGCCAACATACCAGCAACAGTGTGTGCCAACCTTGTGAAGACTTACAGAAAACGTTTGACCTCTGTCATTGTCAACAAAGGATATATAACAAAGTATTGAGATGAACTTTTGATATTGACCAAATACTTATTTTCCACCATAATTTGCAAATAAATTCTTTCCAAATCAGACAATGTGATTGTCTGGATTTGTTTTCTCATTTTGTCTCTCATAGTTGAGGTCTACCTATGATGACAATTACAGGCCTCTCTCATCTTTTTAAGTGGGAGAACTTGGGCAATTGGCTGACTAAATACTTTTTTGTCCCACTGTAAGTGTGAAAAAGTTTACAGTCTTAAGACTGTAAGTCATTAAAAAAATTAATGGACTGCCATGGATTTAATAAATCTTGTCAGCTTCCAAGCTTAATTTACCTAATATTTTGGGCACACATTTTAAGTAGCACTAGAATAGTGATGGCGAACCTATGGCACACGTGCCACAGGTAGCACATGGAGCCATCTCTGCCGGCACGCGAACCATCACTCAGTCAGCTCCGTCGCACATGAACACATGCCTCTTGCTGGCCAGCTGATTTTTGTGTCTGCCGTGCATGTGGAAGATGTGCGCGCATGCCCATGTCACCCCTCCCCTCCCAGGAGTCTCCACGCGGCCTGTTTTGGATGCCAAATAAGTTCGGGGCTTGTGCAGAGGCTCTGGGAGGGTGAAAAACAGGCCTACCAGAAGTCTGGAAACAGGCAATTTCCGGCCTCCAGAGGGCTACGGGGGAGGCTGTTTTTTGTCCTCCCAGAGGCTCCAGGAAAGCCTCCGGAGCCTGGGAAGGGCAAAAAATGGGCCTACCAGAAGTCCAGAAATGGGCTGTTTCTGGCCTCCGGAGGCTTCAAGGCCCAAAACGGGGCTCCGGAGGGGGGGGGGTGTCCGCATTGCATTATGGGTTTGGGCACATGCACTTTTGGCACCCGAGGAAAAAAAGATTAGCCATCACTGCACTAGAATTTTGTTTTAATGGCAATAGTACTTAGACTTATATACTGCTTCACAGTGCTTTACAACCCTCTATAAGCAGTTTACAGTGTCAGCATATTGTCCCCAACAATCTGGGTCCCCATTTTACTGACCTCAGAAGAATGGGAGGCTGAGTCAACCTTGAACTGGCAGCCGGCAGTCAGCAGAAGTATCTTGCCGTGCTGCATTCTAACCACTGTGCCACCTTGGCTCTTAATAATAGATTTTATCTTGGAAAATAATAAGTGTTAATTAAAACATTTTCTAATATACTTAATGAACTTAACAGCAGTGTATGTATGTTTGTGTACACACACAAACAAGTTTGTGTGTGTATATGTGTGTGTACTGAATGTATCTGTATATATGTACGCATACATATATATATGTATATATATACACATACACAAATATAATAAAGTGCTATTAATTGGGGTATGTAGATGTGTATGTACATGCATACATCCATGCATGAGTACATACGTATATACTGGTACATATACTCAAAAATAGTCAATTCTTTTTAAAGGAGAAGTGTACATAAGATTCTAAGTTATGCTACTGGGGAAACATTTTTAACAAGAATTCAAGTAAAAGGAACCGTTTCTAGAAATATATAGTACAGAAAGTCACTTTTTTCCAAGATGGTTTTTAATCAGCTGTCCCACCAGCTTCTGTGGTCTTGTCTGATACTCCTTCAAAACATCATGAGGTGTAGAGATCTGATCACCTTCAAGTCGGTTCAGCAATGTTACACATACTACAGCACCTTAACATTTATAAAACAATATCAATGTTATTTTCTCCTCAAATTATTGAAAAATAATTTAATAATATATAAAATAATTATAATCATCCACATTTACTGTGAACGAATATGTTACTTATTTTTTATTAAAATTTTATTACTTCCTATTGGGGAGAAACTATTTAAGGGAGATAAATTCAGTTGACAATAGTAGGGATAAGAATAAGCCATGGTCCGTTAGCAGGCCTTGTGACAGAACATGGGGTGCTAGAAAGCAATACTAAATCAGATTGCCTTCCCTGGTCATCCCCTATCTTGAGATACCATTATTACTATTATTCTATTACTCCTACTTAAATTTAAAACTCTTCAGTATGTTAAAATTAAAGCTAGTGGATTAAATAACATTATATACATGCCGTTACCTTTGAGGCCACTAAGATTGCACATAGCTGCAAAAACAGAAGATTCCATCTCAATATTTCTTACTCCAGCCTTGTGAGCTTCCTTCAAATATTGCAGTTTCTCTTCTTCAGTATATGTGCAGATGGCACCATCAAGGCGAGCTTGACCTACAAATGCAAGACATATCATTAAAAGTGTAAACATGTACATCTTTGTAATAAGATCCTGGACAAGTGAGTAAAGATCCACTAAAGATTCACCTAGAGAAGGGGGCAATAATTGCAAGGGGAAACAGGCCAGATCAAGATAATAAAAGTATCTGGAATTGTTTAGCCAGGAAGATTAAAGTTGGAGAGATGATTTGTATATGTATTATGAACAGATATCTATGTATTCTAGTGACTTTTAAGCTACAGTAAATCTAAACCATATTTGGTAGTTCTCGAAAGCTATTTTTTTGTTCACACATTCACATTAGTCACAATTTCTGCCCTTTTCCTGAATAATTTTACACTTAAGTTTTCTCTGAATTTATTCATTAACCCAGGGTTTATTCTTTGACTCAGCTTTCTCTGCTACTTTTAGACCAATGAACACAATAAAGAGCTCCTTGCTGATCTCTGCATTCACAAAACCTCCTCCCTCCCTCTCTCTTCCCCTCCCTCCCTCATGCATTTTCTATTTTTTTTCCTGCTTTATTGCCTCAATCAGATGCTGTCACAATAATTAATAGTGCTTAATCTCCAATGGAAGAATGAAGTTGAGAAAATTTCTCTAATGAATTATACTGTTCGATTTGTGTGGTTTGGATACTGAACTATGTCATTCATATGACCTCACATGATCTTAAAATATCTTAATAATTATTAGTTCGGTGCAGGTAACAATTTGTGGTACCTGGTACATGCCTATAGTTCAAAATGTTGAACTTGTGTGTCATCCATGCAATTAAGAAGTCATTTTAAATTCAAGCAATGCACTGTCTTACCTATCATCAAAATAGAAAATTTAAAAATAACAAATAAGTTTAAATAGGTTAAAAAAGGATCACGTGATCAGAACCAAGTAAATATTACTGTGAGGTAAACCAACTTTTGGACTTTAGAATACAGTTGGATGAAATTCCGCCCCCCCCCCCAAAAAAAAATGTAGGCTCCATTCAAGTCTTTTCCCATTTTTCATGCAAAAGCATTCAATTACATCTGGAGTTTACATATGTATTTTTCTTCATGCTTGTTTATTTCTTATTTAATGTTAGGAAAAGTATGTTTTATTTCATCTGCTTTTTCAGATTGAAATTTTGTTTGCTATGTACAAGGTAGTATTCAACTAGTGTTACCTTCATAGAAATCCAGAGTGCACAATGTGTTTCCAATAACTGTATTGAATTGATCAAGTTCCTTGGCACACTCCATAAGGTCTTCATTTAATTTTTCATCTAAGTATGTACTGCGAATGACAGACTTCCCCAAAATAATCTGTTCAAACTGCGGCTTGAAGGTAGCATCTACAGCTTGCTTTGTGATCACCACAGAGCCTGGTGTCAAACCTACATTATAAATATAATTTATATTTGATGATAATATAAATCAATCACGTTTACTTTAAAGAAATAACAATAGAAATACCTATTCCACCAGATGTGCCAACACGAATAATGGTTACATTGCAGCATTTGGCATGATACAGCAGCTTGATGAGTTCATGCAACATGATAGCAATTGAAGGGATTCCCATTCCATGCTGAAATTTAAAAATAGGAGGGGAAGGAATATGAATATTTATCATTTCATATGTTCTGTTTGTGTATGGAGAAAAACAGCATTTTTAAAGATTATTTTCCATTACTTATAGAAGCAGAACATTTTTGCTAAACAAAGAATAATATATTTGTCCTGAACCTCTTAACAAAGCACTCTAAATAGCCAATGTTGTACAGCAGGGCTCTCAGCCTTCTCATCTGGCATTGGCTGAAGGGCTTGCAAGCTGAGTGGCTTTGGGCTTACCTGAAATGTGTGTGCTAGATTTGAACTTTTTGACAAGTAATTTGATGGACATAGGCACTCACCATCTTGGAAATCCTTGCATTTCCTGTTCTCATGATATAGGGCAGCGATCCCCAACCTTTTGGGCACCAGGGACCAGTTCCATGGAGAAAGGGTTTTCCATAGACTGGAAGAAGTGTGGTTTCGTGTGCTGTCTGCATACTGCGGATGGGGTTCACTTGTTTGCGCAGCCCAATTTCTGGCATGCTGCGGGCTGGTGCCAGTCCACGGACCAGGAGTTAAGAGACCCCTGATATACGGTGTCCTGCTTGACTAGGAGCTTAGACTAAAAGACTTCCTAGGTCCCTTCCAACTCTATGTTCTTCTGAAACCAACATTGGATAAAACACTGTTTGCCTCTCCCAGACATCAACCAGCTCTTTTATCTCTGTTCCTTCTTTTATCTATTTCTTAGAGCATAATTCACTTCCAAAGCATATCAACATTTCAATTGATTGGTTAAAAAACATGTCTGCAATCCAAAATTTTTCTTTTTTTGTAATTGTATTGTGTCCAGAAATTTCTACATCTATGCATGTTCTATTCATTCATTTATTTTCTACTCTCAAAAAAAAGCACTCTCTCAATTTTCAGATCTTCCTTTGGGGTATATTAGTCATTGTATATATATTCGTTGTTAGACATATTAGTAACTGATTATTAAGTTGAAAATATTAAATTCATTTAAAAATTGACATTAAAAAAAAATTAATGCCCTCACTCAAGGAAGAATGTTGGAGAATGTAAAAGCTTACATAGTTATATGAAACAATTCTAATTAGTCCAAATAAAAGTAAATGTTTAAAGTCACAGACCTATGTATCTTTTTTCATATATTTTTCCATATATATTTTGTTTTTAAAATATATAGTATACTATACTTACACTGACTGACAGTACAGGTCCCGCTTTGTACATTGCATACCGATCTGTTCCAGCACATATATTGGGATAGTCATTACCCGGGTTACCAATATCCAGCAGTTCAGCAATGTAGGTAATAAAAGTTTTCATCCGTGAAGGACTTCCTCCAACACATACAAACTAAGCAGAATTAAATGAATAAAACACATTCTTAGAAAAATGTACCTTTCAATGTGCATTAATATTTAAAATGATGGTTTTGACAACTACCTGAACTAAAATGATTTCTAGATGTTGCCCCACTATGCAGCATTATTAATGTCTTCAAGTGTTTATTGTAGCAAAATTATGTATGTTAAGATTAGAATACATACCATATTTTTCTGTGTATAAGACACTACGTTTTCTTTAAAATATTTACTTGAAAATTGAGGTGCATCTTATACACAGGAGGCCGAGGAGAAGGCCGCACATGCCAGATGAGCCTCTATCTTATATGCAGCTCTATCATTCCTCTCTATTGTAGTTGTTTCCTGTATCACATTGCCACCCTAGGTTTCATCTCTATTGTTCCTGTGATGCATTTCCTCTTCTTGTTGTATTACCCACTCTAACAAGATGGCTTCTGCACAGTGATGGCTTATAGTGTGCTTACTACAAGAAACTGCATGAAACATGGGGGCATCTGATACACGGAAAAATACAGTACTTGGTCAATAAGTTTTCCAAGTGTAGTTTTCAATCCACATAGAACAGGTAGCAACCTGTGTGTCTCTCCCAGATTTTGTGGATAACACCACCTACCATCTTTCATCCTTGGCCATGCTGCTCACAGTTTGACTACATCATCAGGAGAAATTAGGTTTTAAAATTTCTAATCTGGAGGAACTCAAATTTAGATGGAGCCTGATTGCACCAAAGCTCTGTACTGCCACTTTAATTTATTTAAATTATATTTGGAATATATTGTAGAGAAGGTTGGTCACTGGAAGATTGATATTGAAACTGAAACCTAATTATTCTGAATATTTAAGGCAAGAATAATTGAGAAGATTCCAACACTTGGAAAAATTAAAGACAATCAAAAAAGAGATGACAAAGGATGATAGCATGGTGCTATCATTGCTGACTCAAACATGAATTTACAAGAAATTTACAAGTGTAAGTTACTGACATATAATGCTAGTAAAATGATATCTATTGCGTCACCAAAGTGACTGAACAACTGATTGATTTGCTAGATTGTGTATTATCAAGTTGTTGTTGTTTTTATTTCTGGCAACTACATAGGTTTTTCTTCATGACTGAACAATTGAACCAAAATCTAGATTGCTCAGGTCTCTACTCTACTACAGATACCTGACTCTATTTTTGAAGGCAAGGATAAACAATTCATGCATCTATTTTTATATGATCAAAAATCAAAGAACAAGGTCAAAATATAAAGCATATTTTCTAAAAGCCCCATTCATAATAGAAACTAAATGTACCAGTGGAATGTTTTTGATTCAGCAATTTCTAATTCCATAGCATGCATTTTTTAAAAAATCCTTCCTTTTTTAATCTTATAATTCAAGGTGGCAAACATTCCTAATATTCCTTCATTTCCCTAATTTTCCCACAACAGCTTGTGAAATAAGTTGGGTTAAGAGAGAGTGATAGGTTCCAAATCACCCAGCAAGTTTTCATACCTAAGCTAAATTCTTGATCTTCCCATTAGGAGATCCCTTCCAATGTTTTAAACCTTTAGTCATTTTTTAAAATTCTAGAACATGGGTCCTCAAACTATGGCCTGTGGGCCGCATGTGGCCCACCGAAGCCATTAATCTGGCCCGCACAGGACCATGAGGCTGTCCCGCTCACATCGCCCTGCCCAACCTCCAGCTGAACGCAGGACTTACCTTCATGAGCCCTGCAGGCTGGAACTGAAAGGCCAATAATTTTTATCTGCAGAATGCTGCTGGGGGTGGGGGAAGTGAAAAATGGGGCGCACAGATGCCCCAGGAGGCAAAAAACAGGCGAAAACAGCTCATTTTTGACCAAAAAACGGCCCATTTTTGGACTGCTGGAGGTGGGGGAGGTGAAAAATGGGGTGCACAGATGCCCCAGGAGGCCAGAAAATGGGCAGAAACTGCCTGTTTTTCACCTTCCCTGCCTCCAGAAGATAGATAAAGAGAGACAGAGGAAAGAGAGACTTGATTGTAAGCTCCTTGGAGTTGGGAAGAATTGCTGCAAAACTGAGTTTTCTGAAGTGGACCACTAGACTCCTAAACAACTGAAAAAATGATATAGTAAAAAGAAAAGTCAACCAAAAAAGCAACATGCACAAAAGCAAATAAAACACCCCCAGGAGCAAAACAAATTAAAGTTTAATTTGTGTGCATTGTTTAATGGACTGTTAAATTGGCCACGCCCACCTAGTCACATGACCTGACCACACCCACCCAACCACATGACCACTTAGCCATACCCATCCAGCCTGTCCAGCCCCCCAACAGTCTGAGGGACCATGAATTGGCCCCCTGTTTAAAAAGTTTGAGGACCCCTGTTCTAGAAGCTTGAAATACTGATCTTTTAAATAGGAAACACAGATGCTTAAAGAAGCTAACTCAAATGATTTATTATTGGACATGATTAACTTCATTTTCTAAGAACACTACCGAGCAAAATTCAACAATATATATGTAACTGATTCTACTTTTCCATTGAGCATATTCATAAAGAATTTTGATGGAGATTATTACTATATTTCCCCATCAATACATTGAAAGCAGGCTATATAGGTATTTCAGTGTAAGCATTCTTCGGCAGAAAAGCGTAAGAATGTGAGAAGTATTTGGAAGTAGTAAATGGCAGATGCAGAACCTTACTGTATAGGTAGTTCTTCATTTAGAACATAAAGGAGCCTGCCCATTACAGTTGCAAGTCATAATGGTCATTAAGAGAGGCACCTATGTGATTATCTCACTTAGCAATCTCCATCCCTGCTTTGCCCACTGCAGCCATTAAGAAACACACAGCAGAGCACAAGGTGCCTCGGTGTGAGGGAGGCCTTGGGAGGTCTAGAAACAGGCAGAGGCTCACACAGTAGCAGCACCTCAGCTCACATAGCTTGCCCTAGGTCTCCCAAGGCCTGCACCCACTGAGGCATCCCTTGCTGTGCTTCTGACCTCTTATGGTTGCTGCAGTCCTTGGGTGACTGATCAGTCACTTTTCTTTCACAAGCAACCATTATGGCGCATGGCAAACCTACATAATGGAAGCCATGTGGCTCCATCCTGGAAGCAGGCACAAAATTTGGGAGCTGTAATTTATTGCATATGAATTCATATTCATTGTGTATGAAGGCTGTGCAGTGCAGCAGCTGCTTTCAGAAGATCTATAATAAAAGGTAAGTCTGATTGATAATGGGCAACAGGAAGGAGGGTGACACAATAGAGTGGGAATCAGCCCAAGGGCTGTGGGGAGCTAGTGAGAATATGATATGGGGGAGATAGGTGCAGTTTCTCTGTGATCAGTCATAAGGGCGGATGAATTGCCAAACATCCAAATTTTGTTTATGTGATCCCAAGAGTGCTGCAGCAACTGAAATTTTAAACTGTTTTCAAGGATCCATCATAATTTCAAACTGTCTCCAAATGACCAGTTGTAATTTGAGGACTGTGTAACGAGGGATCCATTTTATTTGACTGCACTTCATTTAAAACATCGTCCAAAGCATTTTGAAATGAGGCTAGTTGCCTCCAGGAAGAAAGTGAAAGACCCCATTAAAAATTAAGTAAAGTCTATTATTCCAAGATCATTTCGGCTAATTTAGCATAGCCATTGAAGAGATAAGAGGAGTTCCAGTTTACCAGTTATTGATGATCACATGTTGTCTTCACTTGCTCATCTGGTGGCATGCTTATTACTTGGGGAGGAAGAACACAGAAATAGTAGGGCTGTAGAAAGTTTTTTCCTCCTCTCTTTATCTCTTGGTGAGCCTACTGCTTTAATAGAATGATTGGTGGGAAATAAAATATGAATAGTTGAGAACGACTAGCCTCCTCCCCTTGCCACTATTTTTCTGGCTCCAGGTTATTAGGTTTTTAAGTTGATTCTGCAAACTTTATCTCAACCCATTTCTGATATAATAGCACAAGAAAAAACAAAGACATTCATAGGACTTGAATGCAGAATGGAAAGGAAAAACGGTTGCTTTCATTTAACAGTCTAGAGCCATTTCTTTCTCACCTTAATATCTCCAAATAAGGCAGGAAAATCATGAGTAGCAGTCCCAAGGGCAAAATGATATAAAATGTCATCTTTCATTTTCTTAAGGTGTGGATTAGGGACACAAACTCTGGCATCTCTATAAATAAAGAGTTAAATAGATTCGTAATCTCAAATAGCTATATTCAAACAAGGCTAGTATAATGCCTAAATTAGTATATCTCTTTTTGAAATCTTTTATTTTACTGATATCATCTTGAATAGAGTACATCTTTGTATGATCAACTTCCTTATTTACTGTGTGACACTAAACAGATCAAGTTTTACTCAGTGTAAACATTTTGATGCAATTCTTTTGCAGAAAATTTATTTATGGAAATTGCCCAAACACCTATTGAACTGTGGTAGAGGATATGTAATTTTGTTACATATTAGAGGAAAATTGAATATTTTGGAGTTCTCAAAAATTCGCAAATATTGCTATAATAAACACAGTGGTAATTGTCATATATTGCATCTCTATTTTTTAGAATACCTATTTCTATGATAGATAGATAGATAGAGAGATAGATAGATAGATAGAGAGATAGATAGATAGATAGATAGAGGATAGATTTGTTCCCTCCTATTCATTAATGAGATATAGTGTCTAAACTCCGTTTAATTCTTACTCTGCACATTGCTTGTCTTCTGCCTTTTTCTTCAGAGCATCGTTAGTAGCCATTCTATTTCCTCAGACTCTGAGTGGGGAAAGAATGGAAACTGAAAGTTGCACCAAGCACTACACATATTATGCAAATAAGGAACCGGTTTCTGGAAATACACGGTCTCGGTATACGTTTCGTTGCGATGCACGTTTACCCAGAACGAGCACATTTTCCCAGAAACCACATAAAATCACAGTCACAGTTAATGCAACAGAATTGAGTAACACAGCGCTTTCTGCAAGTCGACACGTCACGTTGCTTTCCCAGCGTGGTTTTTATCCCACGCCAGTTCCTCCTGAGCGGATCGGCTTCTTTTGGGTGGGGTGCGGATAGAACAGGACGGGAGAGAAACAGTCCTACAAGTCGGACAGATCCGGGGCTTCATAATAGCAGACCGACGGAGCGGCCGGCTCGTGCGACATCATAATGGGCATCCGTGGTGGGCGCTGGGTCTCGCTCTGTTCTCTCGCGCCACCGAAATGGCAAAAGCAAAAGGCTTGGGAGGAATTGAGGCGGCTAGAAAGGAGAGTCTTTTACTTTCCTACAAAATACTCCTAAGGACCTTCGATGAAGCAGCGCGCCCGGTCAGCCCACCCTTCTTTCGCTGGCCCTCTTCTCAGCAACCTTACCTGAGAAAGCCCAAAAAGAAGTAAAAGGAAAGGAGGAGGCCGCCGGCCAGTAGAGAGCAGCGGGGCAGGTGCGCGTGCGCACGCGTTTCTAAGCCTGTGGAAAAGCGAGGAAAGTTACAGGCGGCTGAAGGCTACTGAGTGGCTGTGATTGTGCCCTGTTTGAGCTCGCTGGAAAGTGTCTGCTTTATTCAATGTCGTCGGTGATGCAACGAATATTACAACATTTCTTCTTAGTCATTCTTACTCCTGACGGTCTTTGCGGGTCAATTTAGGAGACTTCTGATCTTTTAACAGGGCAAGAGAAAGAAAGCTGTGTGAATTTGGACCTGCTTCACCTTTTTGAGAAAACCATTTGTTCACAATGCTGTCAATTATTTTGGTGATGGCTTTCTGTGGCTGACCTGCCACATCATCCTCTAACTTATTATTTCTTTCTATCATAGTTGTGGAAAAGCCACATTGAGTGGAATCATATGCAACAGTACAAAAATATCACCTAAACTGCATCAAGCTCCAAATAGCAAAATATCTTACCCCTATTATTTAGTTTAACTACCATACCTACATTTTTTAATGACATAACATAAAATAACAGATCAGAGAATCAGCCACAATACCCAAACAGAAGTAGGCCAATCTTATTATGAGTCAAAATACAAGAGACTCATGTTCTACTTTGGCCTAATTCAAAGAAGTATTTGAGTCAAATCAGCAACTAGCCACTAAAAATGTCTTAATGATGGCCAACAAAATAACAGAGATGGAAGGGATGTTGGAGGTCTTCTTCCCCAACCTTCTCTTCAAGTAGGAGATCCTCTTATCATTTCAGACAAGTGGCAGTTTAATCTCTTCTTAAAAGCATCCAGTGATGAAGCACCCTCAAGTTCTGAAAGCAAGCTGTTCCACTGGTTGATTGTTCTCACATCAGGAAATTTCTCCTGAGTGCTAGATTGCTTCTCTCCTTGATTAATTTCCATCCATTGCTCTTGTCTTGCCATATGCTGCTTTGGAAAATAGATTGATGCCCTTTTCTTTGTGGCAATCTCTCATATATTGGAACACTGCTATCATGTCACTCCTTGTCCTTCTTTTCACTAGACTGGACATACCCAATTCCTGCAACTGTTCTTCAAATGTTTTAGTCTCTAGCCCCCAACCAATCATGCACCAGTTCCATGAGAAAGAGAATTAAGCATTACACAATCTTTTAAAGCTTATGTATCAGTTGTTCAAAAAGATAGGGAAAATGCTACAAGGTAGATATTCTACAAAAGAATATCTCTTACATGTATATTAGAGATCTGTGGACTATGGTGAATTGCATGTATACTTATAAAAGTATTTATTTATTTAATTTGTTTGCTGCCCATCTCATCACAAGCTTATATACTTATAAAATATTTGTAATATCAAATATGTGATATGGTTTAAAGGTACATTTGCAGAAATTTATTCTGTTTTTTCAACTTAAAATGTGTGAAATAGACTGTTAATGAGGATAAAACAAAAAACATGATGTGTAAATTTGTATACATCTGTGAATGTAGTTTAAGAAATTCAGTTAGTCACTTCATTTATTCTGAAATTCACTTAAAAAGAGGTAATATCAGAAAATTTGAAATTACACATGTCACACAAAATACACTAGAGATCAACTAATCAAGAAAACATTTTTCAATACTGAATCTCCTATAATTCAAAGAAAAAATATATTACACAAATAGTATGCAATTTACATGAAATGAAAATCAATAGCATTATTAGAATGGTTATGGAACTGCCTTTATGCAACTTAGAGGAAGGATGTGTTGTCATAATTATTTCAGCATTTAATGTTCTGGCTATGGCTGTGCTAGTAAGCTAGGGAAATTGCATCAGCAAACTTCATCCTCATCATATTATCTAGGGCTAGGCACTTAGAGCATATGTGAAGATTGCAAAAGTTCCTGTGCAAGAGAGGGAATTCATAGATTCATATGACTGGAAGGGACCTTGGAAGTCTTCCAGGTAGGAGGCCTTGTTCCATTTTGGTCAAATAGTTGTCCAATCTATTTCTGAAAATCTCCACTGATGGAGCACCAACAACTCCTGGAGACAAGCTATTCCACTGATTACTTGTTCTCACTCTCAGAATATTTCTCTTAACTTCTAGGTTGGGTCTCTCTTTAACAAGCTTCCACCAATTACTTCTTGTCTTCCCTCTGGTGCTTTGAAGAATAAGATAATTTCCTCTTCTCTGTGACTGCACCTCAAATACTGGAAGACAGTTATCATGTCACCACTAACCCTTCTCTTTGATAGGCTAGACATATGTGGCTCCCTCAACTATACATCATAATATGCCCTTTATCATTTTTGTTTTTCTGCACACTTTCTAGGGTCTCAGGACCTTTTTTGTATCATGATGACCAATCAGAGATGTGTGACCTCACTAGTGTATAAAGCAGTATTATTGTTACATATCATATATGAATATATTGCATATATGACACACAATGTATAATGCATGTTAGAATAAGTCATGAGAATAGTGGGCCTATAGTACAACCATATTGAACCCACTGGAAAACTCATGTTTGTGGAATGTGTGTATCACTGATAACACAAGATCTTGAATGTATGAGTGAATTTTTGCTGATGATACCAGGTAGAACATTAGTGGGCACAAGGAATGCAGTGGATTGCATTTTTTAATGGAATCAAGGAACAGGGAGTAAGAATGTGAAGTTTCTGATGTAACTGGGGTATGATGTACCATACACATTATATATAGATATAGATATAGATAGACAGATAGATAGATAGACAGATAGATAGATAGACAGACAGACAGAGAGACAGACAGTTAGATAGATAGATAGCTTAATTGCCTTGCTTGCCTTGCTTTTTGTCTGAATAATACAATAATAAAAGAACTATTGGAAAAGTCTATTTTGAATTGCTTGAACTCAATTCTATGACATTATCACTTCTCATCTTGACCCTATCCATCTGTTGATGCAGTCTAGGACTTCATTGTTTTTCTGGCTGCTGCAGCACACTACTGGTTCATACTTAAATGATATTCCACTAGGAACCTAGATCTCTCTCACAATTACTATTGTTGAGCCAAGTGCCACCTGAATTCAAAGTCATGTGTACATAAAACATATCCAAAGTGACATTTCTGCCAACAGAGACAATTTCATCAGGAAAAAATGTATTAATGTAAATAAATGATGGTGTCCAAATTTACCCACTTCCAAGAATGCCTATTCTTCATTATGGCATTTTTCAAATATTTTTGTTGTTGAGTTAATTTCTTCTGCTAGTGTAATTTCCCATTCTAGAATACCATTGATTATGCATTCATTTTCTAGTGTTTTATAAGAACAATTCTGGCTGATAATTTCAACCCTTCAAGGTAAACCATACTTGGGCATCAGAGACACAAATACTAAAACTATTTTTATTTTTTGGATTGTAACAAAATCTGACAACAATGAATATGTGTCCCCTCTCCATTCTTTAATTCTAAACAGAACTGGGGAAGATCAAGTCTTTCCCAAATTCCATTTTTGCTTTGGGCTCAGATTTCTTTTGTCTTGACAGTTGCCTTGACTGTGGCTCCTCCTCTTCTTCAATTTAATTTCCTCAGATCATTACATCTGAAAAGAGAAGTGGAACATTTTATGCAATATGATTTATTTGTTGTAGGAAATAAAATTTCTCTTGTCTATTCTTTAATTCATTTTGAAATGTAATTATATGGATTTCCTTATTTCCTCAAAAGCTTGACCAAACATTTTTGCAAAGTATCCTATAGTAGACACTATCACAAAAGATGAAAATATGTGTCTATTTATTTACACTCTTGCCAATACATTACAGAATGATTGCAATTAATGTTGTTCCATGTTTAATAATCACTCGTTCAGCAACTATTCAAACATACAGTGCTGAATAAATTATACCATAGTTACAACCAGTCCTTGTACTTCTTGCCATCCCAGCATCTCTGCAGTCAAGGAATCTATGTGCCCCTCACTTAATCATGACATCTGGGATTGCTGGAACTGCCATCTCTAGTCTGTGGTCATGTGTTTTTTGTTGGTTTTTTACTTACAATTTAACAATGAAATTTCTGATTCCAAATAGTATTGTTAAATGAGGACTATCTGTAATGTAATTTTAATGGAGTATATAATACTACTCATATCAATTCTTGATGATTTGCTGAAATAGATTCAAAAGGAATTCTGTGCCATAAAATATTTCACTGAGATTCAGTCCAAATAAGAATCTAAATCCCATTTCTATATTTTTTAACAGTTTCAGATATAGGTTAGCCAGGTATTACTATATGGGTTCCAATTTTCTATCAGGATTTTAACTCACGGACTTCATGCTTTAGCTGCATCAGCTGTAGGAGCTGAACACATCCCCATAGCATAACATCTGGCTATTGTCTGAAAATTCCAATAAGAATGAAACTAATCATATAGTACCTCCTAATGGCCAATGTAAGTAAAAATACCATATAGGATTAATGCTGAATGAAAGTAATGCAAGGGCGGTAAGGGCAGGCATCGCACTATGTGACATCTGTATCTCTTTGCTCTGAATGTTTAAGAAAAGATAGGTTGTGTATACTATTCTGAGAGAACATTTTCAAAGAATCTGTAGATGGTAATAAAATATATGTTAAATAAGTGAGAAAAGTAAAGTAACAGAAATGCAACCACTTCTCAAATATTTGTTAACAATACAATTGGTAATTGCAGTTCACCAATGATGATTTTGTTAATGGCAATGGTATTCAAGTTAATTTCTAATGTTTTGAAATTGCACCCAAGGCATCTATTACTATTGGTACTATTTTTACTTTCTTTTGCCACAGTTGTTCTATTTCTATTTGCAGGTCTTTAATGTTATGATTTCCTCCAGTTTTTTCTCTTTTATTCTGGTGTTTTCAAGTACTGCAATGTCCACTATCCAGGTCT